ATATAATGGTAATGATAATGAACTAGTTGATTTAATCAAAGTTTAAGAATATTACAATGTGAAGTACTGAAATGTTCAAACTTTTTCGGCTGAATCCTTAACGCATGATTACTTGTTTATAAAATAAAGATGATTAATGATCTTATAATTAATAAATAAATAACATGATATTATCTTGAATATTAAATATACTTATAATTGTTTCAGGATAACTGTGATGACATTATTCAGGCCAAAGCCATTCTAAATCCATCTGAATTGTGGCAATGTGAAGTGAACATGTTAACAACTAATTTTTCAAAAACTAATTGCAAACTTACTGGTCGTCTTCAAGTAGTCTTAGATTCTGTTGAACAATTGTCTACTAATTATTCACCGTTGTTATACTGTTCGAATTTAACGGGACGTGTTGGTTTTACATCTATCTCTTTTGATCAGAATCCTTTATTATTGCAAAAATCTGGACAGTTTTCATTAAATGGTGCTATAGAAATAACCAACAATAGTGAAATTCCAATTAGTTTAATTGTTCAACAAAAGGACAAACAATGTGCTGAATTTACAATTCAGCCTGATAAATTCAAATTAGCTGTTAATGAAAAAGTTAAAATTAATGTTGTGTTTTTACCAACCAAGCCAATTAATTATTTCAAGTAATATTATATAACGCTTAAATATTTTAACACTTAATTGATGATTAATAATGAATTATTTTTGTTTGACTTTATTTTTAGGGAAACAAGTATTTGTTTACAAGTTGTATCTTCGCAGAAACAATTTTTTTTTAAAGTCAACTATATTGAATCTAATCGTAATAATATTTATTTTCTTGTATCATGTAAAATCAGAAGTGCATTCAAAGTAATTTTACTTTATTTTAGTCGAGTTTCAACAAATGAGTTCACCATCTTCACGACCTATATCTCCTTGGAGTACAAGTTCATCCAGTGCTGGTATATTTTTAATTAATTGTTAAATTTATGTTTCGTAATTGATTTAATTTGAATCTGTTAACAGTTGGGCGGTTGGAATTAGAATCTACTTGTTCAAGTTTAATATGGGGAAGTGTACCTTCAAACACTAAATCAGTACAAATATTTACCTTACGCAACCGTGGTTCACATAAGGAAAAATTGCATCTAAGAATAAGAGATAATAAGAATTGTTTTAAGGTATGTAACTTTAAAAAATAAAAATATTTACATAAGATTTTTAATTGTATTTACTTTTAAGCTGATATCTTCTGGTGAATATCAAGTGTCAGAAATGAAATTGTTACTAGAGCCGATGGAAAGTCAAAAATTGAGTGTAGCACTTATATCCACGTCAAATGAAGGCCAGGCTTATGGTCACTTAATTTTACAAAGACAAAATAGCAACGAAAAACGAGTGGTTAGTTTGTAAATTATTAACTATTAATTTTTTTTTACAACCTAGTTGCGAAATTAATGAATTCATTAAAAAGATATTTAGGTTTTTTACAGTTAGGTGAGGTAGTCTGCTGATTTTCATTAAATTAGTTTTTACTTTATTTGTGTTCATCTATATTTTTGAAGAGGTTTGTAGAATAAAATATTTACTGATAATAAATTGGTTTTGGAAATTTCTGCACTGGATATTTTTAAATATATAAGAATTAAAAAAAAAATTGTATTAAACATTATTGATATTATAACAGATTTTTATTAGTTCAATTAAAATTCCATCTCAACATCGTCCACTATTTAGATATTTATCTGTGGTTTATGTTGCATAAATGTTCGACTTTATAACTGTTCTAAAACATTATTTTTTTTAATTCAGATTTCATTATATGGTTACTGTGGTCATTCAGTTATTGTAATTCGTGGTCCATTTGAGGACAACTTTGGTAACATGTGGCTGTATCCAAATCCCCAACTTATGACATCTCAATTGTCTATAACAAACTCTGGAAATACTGCTGCATTTGTGAAAATTGTTCAAGGTACGATTTTATTTCAATTATTTTGTTTTATTTAATTACTTCTTATAGCAACCAAAAATAATGTTCTAGAATCGGAAGATATAATTCAACCTGATGAATTCATATTGAAAAAAGGAGAAACCACTAATGTTGAAATTACAATAGTTATGAGTCCCGAACGCTTAGAAATGTTAATTGGACAAAATTGTAGCTCAAAAGTTATTAATATAAATAAAATATCATTGATTTATGGTGATGAAGCATCTAGATTGCGTTTATCAAGGTTAGTTTAACATAATTCATTGACTACCTATCACATATTGACATAGCATTTATAGTAAATACAAATATACAAAACATAAAAATAATATTCTTTGAGATTTTAACAATTTTATTAGTTATTACTTTAATACATTTTAATCTGTGTCAAAAGAAAATCTATCAAATATGGTAATACAAAATAGTAAAATATGTTCCATTTACAAAGGAAGCTATTTATATTACTTACTTTTGATTGTTTTATCAAATACTATTCATTAGGCCCACTAATTCATTTCTGTATAAAATATGTTTGTATATACTTGTTTTAAATATTAATTTTATATTTTATTGAAAAATCTTTATTTTAAGAAAGCACGGTTAAATTAATTTCCTCAGTTTCTGTACTTGTTCTGTGCTAAAGATTGTTATAATATATTTGATCTGGAATCAATTGTTATTGCATGCTTTTAATGATTCCTTGAGTGTTTCTTTCACAATTTGTAGAATATCTAAAATAAATTAATGGAGTTTATCTCATTCCTGTTCAATATTTAAAAGTATGTTATTCAGCTCCTCAATTTATACATAGATAATAATAAGTATGTACATTTTTAGACTCTGGAAGAAAAATAAAGATAAAAAAAAAATTGCGTATCTAAACCAACAACGTTTAAATGAAATATCAAAGATGTTCAATGGTATTAATCTTGTTAATGTGGATCATCTTGAAGATACCGAGGTAAATTATAACATGTATTTAAATACCTATAAAAGACGTTACTTTCAAAAAAAAATTATGTTAATGTAATGTAGAAATTCCCCAAAGAACAGAAACAAATTTTTGTTTAAGACAAAAATTACAATTCTAAATTATTTAATATTAATAGAAAACCTAACTTGTATTATAGAGACATAATTATTTATCATTTTATTTGAGTAATTATTACACACAACTCAGTTCATTTAAATTGAATGTTCTTATCTATCAACTGTCTTTTACGAGATAGAATTTTATTATTTTTTCAGAGTAACAATTTTAGTAGTCCATAGACCTTGGTGTTATATAAAATTAATTTATTCAATATTCTTATCAATACTCATAAATTATCACTCCAATATTTTCTGAAATTAACTACCCAATAGTATCTTTGTATACAAATTATTTAATTAATCAACCAAAATAATATTTATTATAAAAACCTAAGCTTACCGATTATTTCCTAACAAAAGGAACTCGTGTGTCCATAATATAATCATGCATCTTGTAATAAGAATCTTAACCTTGCCTATGTTTATTTGTAGAAATCATTGCCTAAATTATGGAAAATGGACATAAGCGAAGACAGTATTGTAGTTTTGATGGAAACAAATAATTTAGAATCATTATTATGTGACACGACAACCGTTTTTAGTGAACTAGAGACAACTGTGTAAGTATATACATATTTGAGTTTTAGATTTCTTATGTTAAATGACAAAATGTGTAATATATTTTATTATTTTATTTAAGATTAAGTACTACTTTTTAATACTTTATTAATAATTTGTTTTTATATATTTAATACTTTTACAGAATCAGCAGACTGCCCTAGTAATTTACTCATCCTTGACTTCCTTGTCAAATATTTACTGGAAAATAGTGGTGAATTGTTTTGTAAATTAATATATATTTTTTTTAATACATACATTTTATATTTTATAATTATATCAGATGTGTAACTTTTTAATATTTTTGTGATCTCTATATTTTTTTTATGTTTAATGAAACGTGTTTAATTATCATTCGTACTTTTAAATAAATATAAATTTATAAATTCCTTCTGGCCATCATGTTTTTGTCAGAACTTTTCTACAGATTTTTACGATAAGTCAATATTCTCATAAAAATCCAGAGAATATAATGGAGGGGCAGGTAAATGGTGCTTAATTGATGATGCAGCAATGTCTTGGAATAATATATACTAGAAAGACAATTAAGATGCCCTTGAAGAAGTTCAATGTCATTGTAGTTTGGAGGGGCGCTGATAGTTAGGGGAAGCTTAACTAGGTAGGAATGTAGAATCCTTTAGTTTGTTATGCCGGGGTGTGGGTATCATATTATTATACACTTGCAGCAACCTTCATGCAATTTAATTACATGTGGTAATACATTCCTTAAATGCTGAAAAAATTTTATTTTGCAGTGGGTTACAGCTAATTAATTTTCTAGACTATTGTTGAATATTTGAAAAGACCTAAGAGGGTGAGAAAAATTGTGAAGTAGGTAGAGATCAGAACTTATAATAATAAAAAAATTCTGTAGAAATGTATGGTAGGATTTATGCAATAACTATATTGGGATTACTAATTGGCCTTACTCAATAGAAAGTTTAAAAAAATAAACAGTTAACAATATCAACATTTTCTTATCTTCAGAGCAGGGTATTCATAATATACATATATTTGACAGTATATGGTTAATACGTAAGAGTAGGTATTTAATATAAAATAAATCTAATATTTATATTAGATATTGTTGAGATTGGAATTTATTTTAAAAATCATTGAATTATTTATTAATTTCTCTCAAATAAAGGAATAATGGTTAGGTAGACTTGGTTTTTCAGAATCTTAAAATAAACAATAGATGTACTACATTTTATTATTTTGATAATTGATTTTAATGTAAAATAAAAAAAAAAATAGGAATTAATAACTAACTTTAATTTAAAATTTTTATTTTTGGTTTGTCCCTATGCAAAATGGTTGAATTTATAAAAACTTTTTTGATTTGAATAAAACAGTATAAACATAATAATTCTGTTGGTATTTACTGAATGTAATTAAATGTTCATAATAAGCCACATATACTATGACATAAATTACAAAACAAAAATAATTAAATAAAATTAAACTGTACATTTTATGAAAAATCTGATTTTTAGAGATAAATAATAATTAACTATTTTTGTTTTTGTTTTTGTTTGTTGGAAAAATACAGGCAGTTTATTATTAAATAAGTATATATAAAAAAAAAGATTCAACTTAATGTGCAAGATAATTGATTAATTGATACAGTTAACAGACAAATCATTGAATTATGGGGGACTAATAAATTACAAGTCTTCATCCTCGTCAGGCAATGCAGTTTCTTGAGCCTCCTAAAAATAATTATTAAACAGTAAGTTTTTTTTTCATAATCATGTAATTTAATTTTTACCTTAAGGTCTTGTTCAATTTGGTCTTGCCATTGAGGGTCCATCTTAATTTCTGGGGGTACAAGAGCAGGCATTGCAACAAATTCGAGGTTGGGATCGCCGATTAATTTTCTGGCCATCCACAGGAATGGTTTTTCGAAATTGTAATTACTCTTTGCACTAATATCGTAATACTATAAAAATAAAGTTTTAATAAATTGTTTTAATTAAGAAATAAAAATAAACTATTTACCTGTAAATTCTTCTTGCGGTGGAAAACTATTGCTTTAGCTTTTACTTTTCTATCCTTGATATCCACTTTGTTGCCACAGAGCACAATCGGAATGCCTTCACATACTCTCACCAAATCTCGATGCCAATTGGGTACATTTTTGTAAGTGATACGGCTGGTAACATCAAACATAATGACAGCACATTGACCCTAAAAATGTAGTTTAGAAACTTAACACGATAGTGTAACTCTTTTTGTAATATGAAATATGTATTCTTTATTGTTTTTAGTTTATGAAGGTGCTGCAAAGGAGAACTTTGCTTTTTGGGTCATCTGTTCTTATGCATCCATATCATTTATTGTAAAAAAAAGAAACATCAAAAACAAATCTTAACTATATAAGGCTACTGCCTGTACAATTATCAGAGGGCTGTACCTCTCCAAGTTTCACCTTCGGTGCACACGTTTAATATGCAATGTGTAGTACTCAATATTACATAAGACATCTTTTTAAAGTCTTTTGCATTTGATACTTTTTATTTTTATTATAGAAGATGATAAAAATATTGCATATTATTATGAAATATTGTTCTATAGAATAGAAAAGAATACAATGATAAATATAAATAATATATACACCAAAAAATCACCGAAATTCATCAGTAATATTATTATTATTATATTATTATTTACTAGTAACAGTACAAAAATTTTAATATGTAAAACTTTTAATAGAACTCTATTATTATCATTGTTTAAGGTTTTAAATTAAAAATATAATATTCCATGTATTGTCTATATATAACTGCAAGATCAAATGTGTAAACATACTTACTAAAAACATACAAATAATTTTTTTTTTAATATAAGCAACTTAATTTAATTACTTGAATATAGTATCCGTCTCTAAGACCTCCAAATTTCTCTTGTCCTGCAGTATCCCAAACATTGAATCGAATAACACCACGAGTGGTATGGAATACCAATGGATGTACTTCTACTCCTAACGTGGCAACGTATTTCTTTTCAAATTCGCCCGTCAAATGACGCTTAACGAATGTTGTCTTGCCAGTACCTCCATCACCAACCAATACACATTTGAACGTAGGTACATCATCAGGTACATTCATTATTACTTTTTTCTGTAGAATATTAATATAATTAGTGTTCAGTAAATGAAAAAATAAAATACATCAAAATATGAAGGTTATAATTTGATAAATCATAAAATAATACAAAGAAAGTCGTTAAACATTGTTTTTTTTAAAAAGTGACTTAATAATGTTATCTTATGTTTGTATTTTCAATATGCAGCAGCACATATTATAATTGTGCATGCATTCAGCTACTTGGGTTTTCCTAAAAATCCAAAACAATATACAATTGTCACAATAAATCAATGCTGTAAATTCAATAATTTTATTGAGTGACTAAAAAAAAAGGTTAATTGTTTTGATAAGGACACCTAACCTAACAGTCAAATAAATACTCGGTAGTTACTAGTTAGTACTAATGCAGAAAGACATTAATACAACTCATAGAAAATAAAAAGATCGATTGTAATAATTTTGTACGACATACGTTAGAAAATGTCAATTATAGTATTACGATAATATGTTTACATTTACGGTAGGTACTCGTCTTATGAACCTATAATAAATCACATGGTTCAGAGAAAAATATTTTTAAAGAAAGTTACATCTAATGAATACTGTGAAGTACACAAGCTGGAAAGAATTAAATGGTTAACCAAGACTCTTAAGAAATGAAAATAGCATTTCGTGCGAGGGAAACCACCAAAGATTATAACCTAAGATTTTATGAACTCGAGCTTATGAAAAGATGCCCGGTATAATGTACAACGGTAGAAGTGATGATAATTGTTCACTACTTAAACACTAGCAATGGCGAAATAATGTGACTACTTACGTGTTTTATAGTTTTGTGTAAGCAATGTCGGCGAAAGCAAATGGAGTAATGACAATACCGTACAGTACGACTGTAACGGATTCCAACGGCTTCGTCGGAGTCGTGAGAAAAACGCGCTCGTGAGTCGTGATTGCAAACAAGGAATGATGGCGTCAGGAGAGTAGGAGACCGCCTCCGATGCCGCTATCACGTCACAACCCGCCACAAAAACTGTACAGGCGTACAGTGTTGCCAACTATAAGTGTGGTGGCCGGTGCTATTTGTATTTTTAGGCGCCATTGTTTGAATTAAAAACACCGGATACTGTTTAGTCCAAATTGCACTCTACCCCTCCCCACAGTCTAAATGAAATATTTTTTTTTCTCTCCGTGCGTCCTTTTTGATGCTGAAACGATCGTTAAGCCAGAAATTGAGGTCTGACTAAAGTTCAAGCCGAATTATGGACGTTATGGCGAAATCAATTTATTATGAAATATCATAAACACAATAGTGTTAGCAGCTCCATATTTTATATTGGAGCTACTATTGATATTCTCATCTTGGGAAAATAAGAATAAGTGTGTAACATATTTTTATTACACCCTATGTATAGAATTGCCCAGCATTACATATATTCACACTTCACACTTTCCGGTTCCGTCCAAATTGTTTCATATTATTGACACATGGCAGTTAGTTCAACATTCTCAATCAACAGAATAAAAGTTACAGTTAGTTAGCTTAAACTTTATGGCTTAGAATGCTTAGATCATATCGTATAAGCTTATATGATCTAAAGTTTATACTTATCTATGGGTACAGACGTTCAGTTATAACATATTATGTACTTATTAGGTAGTTATTAATTTATTGGACGTCGAAGTGTCTAGTCCCCGTGTGTTGTCTACGTCTTGTCTGATAATTCACGATTGTCTTCGTCTTAAAAATGCGGAACCTAGCAAATTTTATGTTCAGCAATCAGCAGTTCTCAATTTCTAATTTAGCTTTGATACTTTTAATATAAGAGTAAATTTACCTACTATTGAAGGTAGTAATTATACTATATTTCACAAGTAACAACATATTATTATTAATATATTATGATTAAGTGATTCGTTGGAAGGGTTTTTACAATAATTTATACAATGCTTTTGATATGAGTAATTTCTGATTGGAGTGTAAAATATTATAATTATTTAAACGTACCTACATACACATACACGGCATAAGCTCATACTTCATTGCTTTATTAGTAAACATTTAAATTTAACTTTTAACTGCACAAGTATTTGAAATTCATCACCTTACATGTATTTGTATTAGGTAGTTAATCTTTATTTAGGTAATACAATATTTGCATTAGGTACCTAGGTGACTAGGTACCATACCGATACGCAGTAGTATTGTGTCATTATTTCCATGCAGAAGTTGACAGAATGAATTTCTCGGTCTGTTTAATGTAGATATAATATAATGTACCTATATATATTATTTGCCTAATAATTACAGATAAGTTCTTTGCTGGTAATACGATCGCACCTAAAAAATACGGAAAATTATCTATTCCTTGAAATATTTAATTTTGAATGTGTAAAATGTAAACATATAAAATTGTATGTAATTTCGATAAATTATGGATTTGTAATATAGGTATATACATGGGAAAATTAGGTAACAAAAAAAAAGTTGAACATAATGATAAAAATACCTGTGTATTATTAATGGTGAAAAAGCGAAAAAGCAAAAAACATATCGTATGACATCACATGAATATATATATATAAAAAAAAGTACAATTAATTTTAGGCCAGATTTTTCGATTTTAAAAACAATGAAGTGATACCAAATACTAAATAGTAGAGTGTATTTGTTTGTTATCGCCCCGCCACCGAGCAGTGTAAATAAATGTATCACCCAGCCAACAGACGACCTTACGAGTACGACTGACGTAGTGACGTCTGCAGAATGCAGTACCTATTTAATCTAAAATTTAAATGACTGATACCTATTTATCGCTATTTGACTATATGTATCTTGAATTTCGCTATCAGCTATTACGTGCATGTTAGTCTAGTATGAGTTGTATTCATAGAAAAAGGGTAATTAATAAATACTTATTTAAGTATTTGAAATTTAATTTAATTAGATATACTTAATTAATAATTATACTCATTTTAGAATGTTGTCGGCTTATTGTAATGTTGTATACTAAATTTCAAGTGCTTTCTACTTACCTGATAAAGTTATTACCTAACTAATTTTATTACATTGATAAAAATTGATTTAAATAAGTTATTATTTCCCGCAATATTTATTACTGGCATTCAAATTTTACAAAAGTAGAAAACATAAAAAATAGAGCAAGAATAACCTACTTACCTACCTTTATATTATTTTTATTACACGTAGGTACGTTGCACACAAGTATACCTACCTTAAAAGTGAAGAATATTAAAACTTCAGAGGATTGAATAGAATTGAATATAATTATTTAGTTAAATGTTCGATAAGAGGTATCAGGTATATAGCCGCATATACCTAGGTAAATTAATTTTTATCGACCATTCTTAATTTTTCTACAACTATAATATTATTGGTGCACTATTGGCGATTGTTTTTTTTAGATACTGTAGGTGTACCTATTATTATTATTATATTTAAACCTCTATTCCCCCCCCCCCCGAAAAATTAATAGTTATGTAATTTATTTATATCAATCATCGATAACTACAATAGGTATAACTGGTCGGTGACAATTTGTTTATTTGAACGTCGTCTTACCTGGGGACTGCATATCAGAACTAAAAAACTCGCCCTAAATGAATGACTATGCTCAATAATTTATTGATTAATATGATTATCAATTAAGCCTCAACTGAAACACTAATATCTAACAAACACCCCAAACGGCCCAAACTAAATAACAAACTTCTCATGTATAATTCTTTAATCAAGCCCAAGTGGACTTATGGTCTATAACTATGGGGCAATGCAAAAAAATCTAATGTAAACAAAATTCAAATCTTTCAAAATTAAACTTTACGCATAATCACTATAACGCTCTACCATACGTCTCCAACTATACCCTGCACACAGATTTAAGTATAAAAACAGTTGACGTTGAAGCAGTAACGTTTTACAAACGATTTCATAATAGACTTCCAACTCATCCTAATCCCCTTATATCAAATTTAGCTTCTAGTTCAATTCCGGGCATTCCCACACGGCGACTGAAAAGAAATTGGCGTAGAGATTTACTCAAAGATCAATTTAAAAAACAAATAAATACAATTTTTTTTTAAAAATAGACAATCAAATAGATAGTCCTGTCACCGGATGTCTTCTTCCCTCACGCTTTTTCATGTACAAAATCTCTCACTTATCACATATTCTTACCGTGATCAAGGGTGCAGATTGTATACTTTTTATTAAAAAAAAAAATTAAGTAAACGCGGCTACTTAAATGTGTACAAGTATAAATTATTATAGTATGTTTAATGCTTTTGAGATTTGGTATTTTACTTAGTTTTTTAATTTCGTCTTCGCTTTGGATTTAATTATAGGGTTTTTTCAAACGCATAGGTTATTGGATAAGTAGAGTAATAGCAGGTAGGTACAATGGCTTGTCTAGGATTTTTGCAAGGTGATGATATGACCAAAATTATTTTGCACACTAGGAGCCCAGATATTCCATATTATAGGATAATCCATGGATTCCATAATTATATCACCAGTATTGACAATATATCACCTGCAACGTCCAGCACCATCAACAACACTTCTCTTAAACAGCTGCAACAAGTTTTTAATGAAAAATAAAAAAATGAATTGAACCAAAAAAAAAAGCTTGGAGGGGGGGGGGTGATATATATCACCCACTTAACGTCCGCAAATACGCCATTGAGTAGATATCTATTGAAGACCCATTTTTGTTGTCGTTGATAATCTACATTTATTCGAGTTCATTAATTTATAAATGTAGGTTTAGTATTATAATTTATATTTTAAAATACGGGTAGCAGTCCAAAGTTTTATAATATAATACATGAAGTAGGATTTAATAACATGTTGTCGAGTGTTGTGTGTTATAGCAACGTATGTTGACGTATCCATTTTAAATTAGTTAGGCGCAATAATAATGTATCTCATTAATTTCTTTTAAACTTTATTATAGTACCTATACGTATATTATGCAATACCCAACTACCCAACTACCCAAGTCTTAAGTATTATAACATAATAACAAAATATTATATTGAAAATGTTAATCAATATTATCGAAAGGCGCTAAATTTTTGCGTTGGCTAGACTGGTATAGATTCGTTTTTTGGTCCACGGTGCGCGCAGCCGCGCAATATTTCACTCGCAGGTCTGCCGCTGACAGTGCTGTAGTTAGGAAGTATGTATTGATTTTTATCTCGTCTCTTTTTCGAGTTTTCCGCACGTTCGGAGTTTAATATTATAAAAGTTAATTTTTTATCGTTTTCCTCGGTTATTTTTTTAATTTTCACTCTAGTGTTATTTGTACTTGTGTCTGTGTCACCGTTTTACCAAATGACGCGTTTATGAGACCCAACCGTTTTCGGCTAGTCTGTGTATCTATTTCGCGTTTCCATACTGTAAATAATGGCTAAAGACAGGCTAGCGGCTTTAAAAGCGGTATGATTTTTAAAAAAAATATTTACGATATTTGTGACAATATTACATTGTAAACATTCTTAATCGTGTATAGGTACAACTAGTAGACGTATTTTATCATAAGAAACAATTAAAGGTCCAATATCGACTTGCCCACTTAACTCAATACTAACTTGGGTTATCAAACTGCTTAAACTTTGACATCCAACTGAAGTACTCAATTTTGACACTGACTACACTTACGATTGATGCATACTTATTATTTTATCGTAGATAAACACTTACTATGAATAAAAAAAATGTAAATTTTTGTTAGGTAGGTAGATAGTTCAAAACGAATGAGTATGAATGAACCTAGGTATGCTATATTGTATATTGGTACCTATATTTAGTTAATAATTATTAATAGTGATTACCTAGTAAATTATATGTTGTTTTTGTACCGCCAGTGATATAAAATATTTCTTGTATGGCCAAACATTAATAAAAATATTTAAGTACATTCCATCTATTAAATTATTTAAATTATCCCTATTATTTCTGTTTAGATTCTCTAAAATCAAACTATCTTTTTGTAAATTGTAACCCTTACACTATGAATAATGATTACTAAGGGACTTCAATATGTTACGAAGTGATGACTGGCGAATATTAATATTTTTTACAACCATTGAGTGATTATATCATTTTTTCTTCAAACAATTATAATTATTCAGTTATTTGGTAATTAGGTTCAAGATCAGTTTATTATGTGTAGGTAATAGGTATTACTAGGTAACAAATATATTTTTGTATTTTTCATATAGATATAGCCATATAAGTATTTTTTTAGTACTCCATGTATGAAATACATACCTATGTGATATTTTATGATTCTACTTAAGTTTTAATCTTAAGATAACCAACTAAAAACTGAAAATTGAGCGCAATTTTACTGAGATAATTAAAATTAGCAGAATCTTTTTAAACATTAACTTGACAATGACATGCCCACGCATTTTAATGCTTTGGGGAATGACTTAACTTTTTGAAAAACTTGATGTTGAAAATTACAATTCTATCTATGTATTTATTGCCAATCATAATAATCATTAAAGGATATAATTGTATTCTACTTATAAGGCCTTCAAAAGTTAAAAACATTTATTTTCTTTTGCTGGCTTTATACAATTAATAAAATATTATTCCAGTCTACCTACCCGTTCCCAAAGAAAATACACCAAGCTGCTGTTGGTTTTTATCCGGCGGTATTCATCTCCCACCACAGCATAGGTAGTGACTGGTGGAAAGGTGAAAAAGTGCTCAGAACTGGTGTACCTATTATCTTTTGAAATGGAGTATAGTATTTGTAATAAGTAATAACCATAAAAGAAAACACAACAATTTCGACCCCCAACATCCATCTTCCTGTGTATATGTTTGTTTTATGAACATTATATTAATGCCAGTATTCTATTAAGACTTCAGTTGTTTAGATTCATCTTAAATGACTGTTATATAAGCTAAACAGCACATTTTTGAACAATACCTATACCTAGTTATACTATTATGTTAGCTTTTACCAATTTGTATTTATCGTTAACATACTAACTGACATTTCGATTTAAGTAGTAACTATTTTTATTTTTTTAATTGTACAAGATGATATTTTTTTAATTGTACAAGATGATATTTTTTAAATATTGCACTTATAAATTATGGTTGATATGAATTGAATTCTTATGTTAGGCTCAAAGTGACGATGAAGAAGGAGGTGCCGATGATGTGGCAGTCAATTTGGAAGGCCGGCAAGATGGATCAGGAGCTGGATTTATGGATAAATTTTTTGAGGAGGTAAATATTTTTTTTTTAGAAAATGGAAACAATAGATGCATTTTGCAAAAATCAAAGTGATGATCATTATTAAACTAAAAAATTTATCGGCTTTATAATTTTATTAATACTTTTAAAAAATATGTACATGTTTCCAAACCTGTGGGTCGGTAATTTTTTAAATATTTATACATTTTTTTATCATATACAATACTTAATGTTAGATAACTTTAAAATATATGTGTATATAGAAAGAATATATATATATATTTATGTAAAACTATAAATTCAAACAAACAAGACAATATTTTCTGTGTAACTGTACTATACATTGATGTTGAACTTAGTTTTATTATCAATTATTATCCATGACGGTTGCAAGTATACAAGTCACATATCACCACAAGTGAGACTTAAAGTTATATAATTATAGCGATTAACGAAGTAACAAAAAAAAGTTCATTACTTCGTTAGTGTGTTGTAGTTTGCCTTAGTTTAAACACTTTTCAAAATGAGCAGTACCATAAAAAGTTAAGGAACCTCTGATGTAATGTATACCATGGTATTATTGTAACCTAACTGAAATTAAAAATTTTTATAAATGTTATCATAAATATAATTCAGTTTGTAAGTATTGTAAATAGTTGCAGTTCAAAAAGTATTGATCTTGGTATTCATATTTGTAAAAAAAAAAAAAATAATAATACTAATAGGTATACCACACAGATTAAATTTTAAATGTAGGTAGATAGGTATGTTATGTTAAGGTTGTTGACCCTTTTTTGATATCATTTTAATCACTGTGTAATGTGGCTGTTAGACCTTGATTTGGTGTTATTTTAATATAAATTGTAGGTAAATTAAATTGTTTTTATTTAAAAAAAACTTGGAATCAACAAGGTTGAAAGCTGTTTTAATTTTTGCTAGTTGTGAGCTAACATTCTTGTATCAACTTTATGACTTATTTAAGATTTAAAAAATGTAGTAGTAAAATCAAAGATCTAAACAATAAGAATAGTTAAAATTGTTTTGTATGTATCGGGGCTTGCATTTGAAAAATAAATTTTGTTTTACGTTATTTACAATCAAAACGTTATACAAGTTTTGAGTTTATCGTTATTCAAAATTTAAACGTTATTTAACTTTTGTGTTTATCGTTATTCAGAATTAAAACGTTATACAATTTTTGCGTTTATCGTTATTTAAAATTTAAAAGTATTTAGATACCTGTTTTAAAAGTACATAGGCCGCAATTTAAAAGTATACGACTATGACCTTTTTTTGGGGACATAATTTCCCTATTCTGAGTTTTAAGTAGGTATTGTTTAATTTTATTTATTTAATTAAATGGGTTAAACTAGTATAAAGAAAACGTATGCACGTTAAAACTATAAGTATATTAGTATAAAATATAAATATTAAACATTTGACAACAATTAGACAAACACTGACGAGTGAATAAATTTGATCAAACTGAACATCGAACACAATAGTTGAATAACTTGAGTGGTATAAATTTCGACCGTAGTACAGATAGTACAGTACAATATTATCAGAGCATCACTATTATTAGTTATTGGTAATTAAATTATTCTATTAATAACTTCTTATTAAGTTTTAAAATAATATCTAATACGGGATCTCCCGGATAGGCCGGATACAGAATAAAATTAATTCTTGGATTGAATAAATAATTGAATACTACTAAGTAGTAAGTATTATTAAATAATTGGGAATTAATTATTTCGTTTAATGGAATACAATATATACCGTTTTGCGTTATGTTTCGTTTAAAGATACATCATATATTTTGTTAAACGTTACGTTTTGTTTTGTGTTATTTATTTATTTACGTTTATCGTTTTCCGTTATAATTACGTTTACAAATTTCAATCGTTTTTTATCAAATATAACGTTATAATCATAACGTTATTATAACGTTTGCAAGCCCTGGTATGTATAGATCATTTTAATAAATGTATTGACATTCTCTAAATTGTCAATATCTTTATGAGTCAATAAAATATAAAAATAATTAAAAACGTATTTTATTATTATTATAATTTATAAAAATAAAGATAAACAAAATCATTTATGAACAGTGATTTAATTTTTAGTTATGGACCATAATTAATTAATTCATAAAATTGCATTGATTTTAATACAAATAGTATGTCACCTTATTTTTTTAATATAGCCAAATGTATAGGTATTTGTTGAAATTAATACATTTTTAACTCTGATATACTTAATCATTGGGCATTCATAATTATTTGAGTTTTTTTGCTCAACACTGCTATTAACTAATAAGTATCTACTATTTCGAACAAAAATACAAAGTTAGCAATTACAAAGTTAGCATATAATAAATAAATAAAATATACCTGAAACATTAATATTAAGTTGAATAATGGATTTGTATTTGAAAGTATATTAATATAGTTTTATTCGAATATAGTGAGTATAATAAGAAGACTTGACAAATTAAATAATTTTTTTTCCAATTTTTTTTATAAATAATTTTTTGACGTCTGCATTACATGTAGGTAGGTAAAATATAAAACATTTTATTTTTATTTTTTATTAGCAAAATTATAATTTAAAATCTATTTAAATTCTTTGTAAAACATTTAAAATAGCCAATTTGTAAATCTGGTTTTTAGAAAACTCGATTGTAAAAATATTTGTCTAAATCAAGTGGTTTATTTTTTATGATTTTTTTTAAACTCTAAATGTTTTGAAGTAAGTAACATTCATAAATGTGAAAAGTAATTACTTACAAAAAAATTTAGATCCTAACAAGTACTCAATTTAAGTTTCTCATGGAGTGTTTATACTTTTTGAATAAAAAATGTTTTTTTACAACAGGATCAACTTTATAGAACAAAAAAAATAAATCCAACCCTTGTTCAATGCACCAAATTTATGTTCAGCTAAACTAATTGTGTGTTGTTAGCATAGACTATAAACTTATGGACATCGCTTAGACAGAAAAACCTGCGGACGAGTGAGATAAAATTATATATTTGGGATGTTACAGTGTCCATCTCACTCTATTTCATCTCCATGAACAGTAGGCAAGGTGATGTCGTAGACTGGCGGGCACTGTCCACTAGTTTAAAGTTCTATAGTTGTTAACTTTAATATTAAGGCGAATTGAACTATTACTTAACTTATAGTTATGACAATTATCTAGTGCATTTCATAGGCTTTTATTGATATTTTAATTTTTAAGCGAATTATAAACATTTTAAAATAATATTATTTTCTCTAGTTATTGCCCAATATATTCAAATATTAATAAAAGCCTATGAAATGCCCTAAATAATATTTTTACTTTTAAGTTTAATAATAGGCAAATTCAATCTAGTATTTAACCTAAAAACATATGATTGGTTCTGCTGAATGTAAATATGCAATGTTGCATACCAGCAAGTGGTCAGTAAAAAAAATATGGCACACTGAAATTCTCCTAAAGATGACTGTATTCATATAATCTAATCATTAAGTAAACATTAATACCAAACATTTCTAGATATTAGGAATTTATTTGAATTTAACATGTTTAGTGCCTCAAATGACTTGCATTGCTCATGTACCCACTACTATGCACAATTTTAAGCTCAATGCTATAAAACCACTAAACAATAACATATACAAATGGATACATTGTATTGATACGGTATCATACTGTTTGTCTTGAAGGGAGTAATACCATAGTTGTAACTACCTGTCAACCAAGGCACACAAGGTGTTATATTTAATGATAATTGGATAATTAATAATCCTTTTTTAAAAAAAAGGCTTAATACATAACCAATGTTGTAATGCATATGTGCCTATATAAGTTTAATTTCTAAAACTTTGTTACAGACTTTTGCTGTAAACAAACATTGTTCTAATAAACTACTAAAAATAAATTTAAGATTTATTAATTTGACCATATTTGTATTTATAAAAGAATATTTAATTAACTATACTTCTATATACTACAAAAACTATATTATGTTATATAATGTATTATTCAATTTCAATATATTTGCTTACTTGTATTATGCAGTGTTAATTTGTATGATAATAGTAAATTAATTTTAATAAGTTAGACATTAACGAAATAAAGTGACAAAATACATTAATGATTCATTTACTTATTTAATTTTGACAAAATGAATAAAAAATAATTATTACAAAGGAAAAAAAAACAAGTATTCTTGATTTTTATTACACAAATGAATGTAGTTCAATATTCATTAAAATCTTCAAAACTAAGTTTTATACGTCATGTACTCGATGATATTATTAGTTAGTCAAATAAAAGATAAACCTATTTACAGATAAAACTTCAACTAGTGTAAATAATTGTATCAGTTTGTTATTTATCCTGCCTTGAAAATGTTCATTTTTCTGTGATAAAAATTAAAATTTTACTACAATGAAATCAATTTACAAACCCTTATTATGCGATTTTAAGCTTGAGGTTATTTTTAAAAATTAATTATTTAAGATGTAATGTACATCTGATAAAACATTAAAAACTATCTATGTTATAGGTGGAAGGTATCCGAGGGATGATAGATAAGATTCAAGCAAATGTGGAAGAAGTGAAGAAAAAACATAGTGCAATTTTATCTGCTCCTCAGACTGATGAAAGTAATATAATTGTATTAATTATAAATAATTAGTGGTTGAAGTGTTGACATTCTTTCAATGTCTAACAATTATAATATAATATTACTATTCAAATAGTTTTTGATGGTTAATATACTAAACTACTGAAATAAAACTTTTAACATTCTTTATTAAATATATTTCATTAAAAATAAATTATGTTATGTTGTAATAATATAAATATTAGGCATAAAACTCAAATTTGAAAGTTAATAGAAAAATCAAATATTTTAGTTGGATCTTTTAAAGTGGTATGTGTAGAATTATCTAAGGCTATGATATTATTGCCTACTGGGCCATTGAATTTTGATGGGTATTCAAAGTTTAGCTAGTAAAAGTATGACACATGATATTATATATAAATAAATATTTATTATTCTACAAAATTGTTAGATGTACTGCAATAAAGTTATGATGATATATTTATTAAACCATAATAAGTTCTAAATGTAAAAGTCTTAAGCTTTATGAATAATATATTGTCTATTAAAAGTTGTAGCTACTAAAGCTTTTATAAAAAATTAATTTAAAGTTAATATTTGCGGCATTTAATTAAAACAAAAATGTTTACAACTTAACCTAACCTTTTTAATATTTACATTATTGTAACTGAGTGGCCGAGCAGAATAAGGTGGCAGTATAAAACATGCACCATTACCAGTTTGCTCTCGGGCGCTAATAGCTTCTTTCTCCAGGTAGGAGACAGTCCTAGGAAAGAGACCGCCATCTGTCTGGTCTTAACAAAAAAAAACCAACCTAACGGTTGTAAACTAATAACAAATAATACATTAACTATGTCTCGTCAGTTGTTGGACATAATTTTTTTACTAAAAATTTTTATTTTTTATAAAAAACTGAAAGTTAAAATTCAAATATGAAATTAGTGTTCATTTTACTTATGACTACTGTTTTTTATTTTTTTACTTATGTTCCCTTTTATTATTATAATAATAATACACTAAATGTGACACATAAAATGTTCTGAACATAATTTACAGATGCTATTTATTTTTTATCATGATTTTAGATTTTGAGTAGGAATTAGAATATAACTGTGTAGCTGCTTTAAAATTATTTACTAATTTTTTAATTTTATATAAAAACATTTTTGCAAAGCATTTTAAACACATTCATATATATATGCAGTACTTTCTGTATATAAATTAAATTGCAAACAAGTAACCTACTATAACAACAATAAAATAGGATTTTCTTACTGAAATATCCATAAATTATTCAACTGTTTATTTAGTAGATTAAATTTGCTATTATAAATAAAAAAAATGTCTCCTTTAAATTATTTTTAAATTTAATATATGTATATGAATATTTCGTAGGCAGGTATTTACATGTAGTTATTGTCTTAATATTTATAATTTATGAATGGAAAGTACAAGTGTTTTAAATGTATTGAGCATAGAAACAATATTTTTCAAAATTATCAATGAATCAAGTTAAAATGAAGAGTTAACAATCAATATTGAAGTACAGCTTTTTTGACTAGGTACATTTTTTTAGTCTAAGTGTGGAGCTTTGATTAGTGATGACCTCAACGAATTAGTTTTTATTAAAATATATAATGTTATTCTTAAATTAAGTTGAAGTTATTTTTTTGCTTTTATTAATAAATTATTCAATATTTGATATAAAGTGGTTCTTAATTGCAATATCTAATACTCACATTATAGTCATAAAGGCTAGTAAGTTATGACTAAACTTAACAGTATGCCTACACAAGTATTGGTTAGTGTTTAATAAAATTGGAAAAATGAGAATTGTGCTAGAGCCTTTCAAATATTTAACTTTTTAATCCTAGGCACATTAAAAATTAAAAAAAGTTAAGTTCAGTCAATTATATTTGAATTTCAAACTATATAGGTGCCTATTACTTTATGATATTTTCATTATGAAATTTAAAATTATAAATAAATTTGTAAAATATGTATCCCTATACCACATAAATTATATTGTCATTTTTTCTTAGACAATTTTTAATTTGTTTGATTAAAATTCTTATTTATTGTAAGCAAATGAGAAATTTGAAATTCTTGGAGAATTAACTTAAGTTTTTGCCCTTAAGTTCGTCTTGAATTATAAATTAAGTCTAATTCTGCCCAATTCAAAACTATTATTTATTGTTTAATTACTATAGTATTTGAAACTTATTTTGATTGTTGGTATTATGTCGATACATTTACATCCCATAATGTTAAGTATGTAGCAATTAATAATAATTTTGACCAATTTTTATTTTAAATAAAGGCAAATGTCATAAAAATTTTTTTTTATCAAATTAATGAAATTTTAATGCAATAATTTATGAAGGTCTACTTTCCTTTTTTTAAAAACCTATTTATTATTTTAAGTGTGTTGCTGTTTAAGTAGATGTAATTTAGGGTGTCTGTGAAAACCAGGCTGAGAACTGCCGCATTAAAAGCTGTACATATTTTTATCTTATACAAATGTTGGTACCTATCTTGATAGATTTTAATTAGCAATGTTCATAATATAATGATTATGTACTTCATTTTTTTCATTACACGTTTATTATGTCAACATTTTCATTGTTTTGCTTATTAGTAGGTTATTATTACCGATAGGTAATAAAGTATTTGCATGGGGTCACCAAATTGCAAAAGGTTAGGTTATTAACTTTATCTGGCCTAAAAATAAAAAATATATTTATTTATATTTATTTTTTAAATTATTTTTTTGATGGTAAATAAACTAAGGTTTTTATATATTTTTTTTTGTTTAGATAAACATTAATGTTATATTTTTATGAACGGGGAAAGCTTCCTAAATTCCTAACATGGACCTCCAAAAATATTAATTTTTAATCCCCTGAGCTTAAAGAAAAAATACTAATTTAACTTGCTGTAGCAAAACAATAAAAATTATTATAATGATATAATATTATATTTTGTATCATAGTTGAAATAAAATATAAATGTTATATTGACTATGAATTAATAGCATGTTTAAGTAACGTAAATTAGGGTAAAATTGATGATTTTGCACTTTTTATACTGTACGTGACCATTTAAGTTCATTCTATCATAATTAATTTTGAAATATATACAAATAATATGAAATATACAACTATATAATATAAGTATCAGGTATGCTATAATTATTTTTGAATTTTGTATATTTAAATTATTGATAAACGGCGATCGTATTATTGTTATCATAATTTTTTTAAATAATGTTTTAGCATGATTGTCCAGCTTGATTAAAAATGCGTGTAATCAATAATTTTAAGCTCGTATTTATTTAATGATTGCTTGTAAATTGTATTATGGTATTTTACTTATATTATTTAGCCTGTTGAATTTATAAAAAGTTGTCTGTTTAACGTTTTAATGTTTAAACTTTGTCAGAACTAGAATAAAGTTTTCTGAAAAAATGCATTCTACAGACACAGTTTGTTATGAGAATCCAAACTAAATTTCACTATTTTTAAAAAATAGCTATAGAATAATGTATTTTAAATAAATATACTTTAATAAAATTCATTTTAGAATTTGGATGTATTAGTTTTCAATAAAGTGTATTTTTTTAATGTTATATCTGTATACGTATTACAGAAAAAATGTTTTGATTTTAAACTTCAAGGGTGGTTTCTGGTAGAAAATTTTTGATAATTAATTATTATTATTAGTTGGTGCTTTAGGGTGTAAAAGTGAAATCAGTTCAACTAGAAATCGATTATTTTTGTTTTTTGTTGAAACTCAAAAATTAATGACCCACTCGCATATTTTGCATGTTAGAATTTACTAGGAATGATACAGTTTTCATTATTTTTACTGTTTTTATGCTATTTATTGATGTTTAAAATTTTTGAATTATTGTTTTTTTTTTACATTTGTATGTAATGAAATGTTTGTAAGTAAAACAAATTGAACATTTTTTATATGAATTTCCTCCTAATTTGAATTTGAAAAATAAATGATGTTGTTTTAAATTCATAAAATTAGTATTTTATCACCTAAGATTTAAAAATGTATGTAAGATTCCTCATAAGTTTGTTTAATGAAAATTTGAAAAAAAGAAGCCTTCAGTTACAATATTTTTTTAGTAACCAAGTTCAAATGTTGACGATATTTTCAAAATATTTATTCTACCTACCAACTAATTTCAAACTACATAATAAACTATGTACACATATTACATTTTGATTGAACAATTTTTAATAGTTAGCTGACTTATGTATTACACAATTGACAGAATTAGAAGAACGCTCGAGGGTCTAGCCCCCTCCCCCCCAGTTTTTTTAATCAGATTTTAGTTTAAAATATAAATGATTAGGGTCTTTGCTACTGATACAATTCTAATTCCCCCTCCGGATATTTTTAGTCATATTTTATATTCATTCTAAAAATATATTTTAACGAATTTATTTTCATTTTAAAATACTTATTTAATATTACGTGTACTCTAATTTTTAATATAACATTTTCCAAAAAAGGATTTTGGAATTTGGGATTATGTTTTGGAACTGTTTAATTTTAGAATGTGTATCTTTTTTAATTTACGATTGTTCGGAGTAAAAGTTTTCTTTAAAATGATTTGTATTTTTGTAAGATTAGGTGCTAAGACTAAAATTTAAGTACAAGGTTGTATTTATTATTTCCATTAGTCATATTTTATTGTGTTTTAACTGGTGGGTGTTGAACGTTATTAGATACTATACATACCAATAACATAATTCAATAATATTTATTGACAGTTGTTATTAATTTTCTTGAATTTTATAGTTACAAAAAATTGAGTCCCTCGTATTTACAAATTCTAATATTATAGAGTTAAAAGGACGTTACACTGCATTGTCTCCGTCTTACAAATGCTTTACATACCTAATTTTACGCTCAGAAGATCACGTTCAGCTTTGTTAGTTTAAAAATTAGTGTGAATTGATCTAAAATTTAAAGGGTATTATTATCTATTGGGTATCTCACGGATTTTTTTATTACATTTTA